GTGAACAACTGTTCGCTAGCGCACCCCTGGGGAAGACCAGGACCACTGGATACAAACTCCTGGAAGGCCATTTCAGGCTTAATACCAGGAAGAACTCCTTCACAGTCAGGGTGCCCAGATTGTGGAATAAACTCCCTCCAGAGGTGGTGCAGTCACCTACCCTGGAGGTTTTCAAGAGGAGACTAGACAGTCACCTCGCTGGGGTCTCTTAACCCCAGTTGTCCTCCTGCCTAGAGTGGGGGGGCTGGACCCAATGATCTACAAGGTCCCTTCCAGCCCCTAACAATCTATGAACAACGTTAGCTGGTCATTAGTGAAAAATCTGTGACTAAACTGTTGAGGCTGCGAGACTCTTTCTTCTGTGTGCTTTCTAAGCCTAACATAGGAAAAGCATATGTTTATTTCAAGTTTGGTATGAGAAACACTGGCAGATTAGCATAGGACTTAGTATTTTACTTGGTAGGGAATTTTCTGTGACTTTTCAAAATTAGTTTTGTCAGAGTATATGGATTTGTTTAAATGGAAATGTTTCATGGAATAATTTCATGAGAAGAAGTAGGTTTTGATGAACTTAGTCGACTCCAAAATGAATATGAGTCGTCAGTGTAACAAAGTGATAAGTAAAGCCAACCGCACTCTTTCATGCATTAGTAGGTGCATCACAAGCAGGTCCAGGGAGGTGATACTTCCCTTTTATGTGGCAGTGGTGATACCGCAGCTGGAGTACTGCATCCAGTTCTGGGCACCGCACTTCAAGAGGGATGTGGATAACCTTGAGAGGGTCCACAGGAGGGCTACTCATGGTTGAGAGCCTTCAGGTAAGGTCCTATGAGGAGAGATTGAGGGACCTGAATCTCTTCAGCCTCCGCAAAAGAAGGCTGAGAGGGGATCTTGTGACCCTCTACAGATTCATCAGAGGCAGGGAGGGCCGCAAGGAATAAGGGGATACTCTGTTTACCAGGGTGCCCCTAGGGGTTACTAGGAGCAATGGCCATAAACTGACAGGGAACAGATTTAGATTAGACATCAGGCAAAATTTCTTTGTGGGGAGGGTTGCCAAAATCTGGAATGGGCTTCCAGGGAAGGTGGTGCTCTCCCCTACCTTGGGGGTCTTTAAGAGGAGACTAGACAAGCACCTAGCTGGGGTTATCTGACCCAAGCTCTCTTTCCTGCCCAGGGCAGGGGGTCAAACTCGATGATCTACTAAGGTCCCTTCCGACCCTAAAAATCTATGAAGCTTCTAATGCCCTACAGGGGCAGGTTCCCAACCTCTGAGCCTCTCAAGCTCACTTGGGGCTCCCACAGCTCCATGCCCTCAGTCAGGGGTGGTGCAGTCAGCAGTTTCAGAAATGGACATCCCAGGCTCAATTTCATTTTGAAATGTATTGTTTTAAAGAAAGTTTCTGCAAATTTTTCCTTTGGTGGTATTTTTTTTTGACTGGCTTGCTTTTATTCCAGAGGGTAACCAATTTTTTTAAATAATTTTGAAAGCTATAATTAGCATGTAACATCTGACTCAAAACAGTGCTGCCATTTTCTTACTTTAGAAAACTCTGAAATTACAGGAATAAATATAGTGAGGACATTCCTCAATATTTTAACCAGTTGTTTAAAACAAAATATGGATGCTGTAGGTACCACTTATGAATTTAGTGACTGGAATCTGATGCAACAAGCAAAGTGAACTGGCTGAATGGTATCTGGCCTCTGGTAGTAGATAGAAAGTTCTTTACAGTCTCTCTCAGACCTTCACAAATGTTTACTATTCATAATTCTAAACTGACTAAGTATGATTGCCAAGCCAGCCAATTGACCGATCACATTTGTCTAGCCTATTATTTGATTTTTGTTTATTTGTCAAATACTCTGTGAAGTCAAGAATGTCATTGTGTAGGTGGCACCTACCTTTTCTAATGCATTATGGTGTCATCAGTTTGAAAGGGTGGGAGGGAGGTCTGGCCCTGCATGAGTCAGGATACATGCACACTCTCCATTTAAGAGCAGGTCTCTTTGTCCCCTTCTCTCCTGAGCTCTTGCAGCCTCATTTCCATTCTCCCCCTGCTCTATGTTTCCCAAGCCATGTGAGGCTGCAGAATGTGCTCTGTGCTGAAGAGGGAACCAAAATGAGCAACATACAAAGAGGTGATTTATCTTTTATAGTTGCTGTGTGCAGTTTGTTGTTTTATTTTGTAACTGGTTGGGCTGACCCTGGAATTCTGGGGCACAGGAAAAGCAAAGGGGAAGAAGAAGTACTGTTCAGTCTTGAATATTTTATACTTGCCTAACATCATTAGTCATAACAACTCATTACAATTTTTAGAATTTAATATCATTGTTTTGTGATAGCAGTTAATTATTTAAAATTAGCATAAGTATTTATCCTGTTGAAACCTCTCTGACCTCTCCTTACTGTTCCAATTTTAGTATATGTCATGCTGAAGCAGACAAAATTAATACTCAAAACACTTGACTAGTATTTGATCAACTGAGCAGTAAAATATTGCCAAGAATTTTTTACTAGTCAGCCACCCAGGCCTAGAATGTTTATTGCCAACTTCAGTTAAAGTCACTGAATTTTGTATCACCCTTACATTGTTTCTTTCTTTCTTCTCAGTTCTCCAAGCAGAAATTCCACCTCACTGTAGCGTAACAAAAATTGTAATTCTTTCTGCTTTTAAAATATTATTATAATCAGGATATGACTTCACTCAATAGAATGTCTATGTAAAGCTTTGGGAATGAACCCTTATATTTTGTGGACTACTAAAGAAGAGGGTGTAAAGGAGCCAGATCAATCCCTAGGGTGACTCAGGTGACATCAATGGAATTACAAAAAGGATCTATACAGTATAGTGTTCCTGTTGTATGCACAGCAGGCATCCCCACACTTATATTGCTGTTACTGGTTCAAACTAATGTCTGTAGTGATGCTATACTTTTTGTAAACAGATAAAATCGCTTCATCCTCGCCCTGGCTGGGTTGAATTAGATCCTGAAGTTCTGTGGACTCAGTTCACTGATGTATTAAAAGAGGCTGTACAAGGTAATTGTTAGTAAAACCACACAACAGTGGAGGATAATCACTACAACTAATGAATGTCTTAGGGGTTTGGGGTTTTTTTGTAATAATGAAGTATATGATGTACTTAAGGCTTATTGATGGCCTCAATAGGAAACTGCAAAATACTTTTATTAATTACTCAGGAACCTGAAAATGCATATGTATACATTTGTGCACAAAACATGTTTGCACAAAAAGGATGTTCTTTCCTTAAGCATATGTTTGCAGCACTGGTCCCACTGGCAGACAGACAGACAAGATAATACTAATTTTGTTGACTGTGTGTGTATAGTCTTTCAGCTAGATGTGATTTTTATCCTGACCTGTTTTCATGAAATTCTGCTCTTGGAAGTATGTATTTAAGTCCCAATAAAGCAAACAGATGTCCCCTTTAATGGTATAGCTGAGGACAAAATTTATGTTTTTTAAAAAATGTGTATATCGGGAAAGAATTTCTGGAACTTTCATTTTAATTTGAACTATGCTAATACATAATAGATATTATAACAAAATTAATATAACATAGCACATACCAAAATCTAGAATTACATTTCAGGTATATTCTACATGTAAAATTTTTAGGCCATCTTAAATCTCACATGGTTTAAACAGTGGTTCTCAACCTTTTCAGACTTGAGGCACTCCATAGGAAATGCCAACTCTTAGCTTTCACTTTTTTTTTTTCCTACAGAAATATAATAGAGCAATTCTTCTGTTGTAAAAAACTCAAACACCACCACAACATGTCAGAATCTTATTGTAGTCATAGATTCACTGGTTTAAACAAGCTTTTTTGTATGTCTCATTATTAGTTACTGTAGATTATGAAATGCAGTTTTTTAAAAATCTAGTCTGCATTTTGCAATCTGTGCCTTTTATTCACTTTCTGCATTTGGATTTTTCTGTTTTGAACACTGAAAATTAATCAAGGGAGTGTCTTATTTAAATTGTGCTTGGGTATAAACACTGCAGAGAAAAATGTTTAAAACACCTGTTTTATTAGACTTCTGAAAAGAAAATTGTTCAGACATTTTTAGGGATAAAAGGTTTTATAAAAGCATTAGGTTATATCAGTTAAGCCTGAAGTATCAAGGTGTAAATATATGCCTGATTACAAGTCTACTTGTTTTGGAACAAATTGGCTTATTCTACTGGTATGTGTGAATTCTTGGTCATTTAAGCATTCATGTTACTTACCTACCTATCCACTGAATAAAAATTAGTGATTATCAACTAAATCAGGTACTTTACATTTAATATATCATTAAAATAAATTAGTATTCATTACATGATTGATGATTTTCATAAGGCTTCATAGATATGTCAGAATAATGGTTTCTCATTTGTTAAAATAATTTTTTATGTCTAGGTGCAGGACTTCGTATGAATCAAATTGCTGGTCTTGGCATCTCAACACAGAGAGCAACTTTCATTACATGGGACAAGTATGTACAATATGTGAATATTTTTAACACATTTATATAATAAATAAAGATGCAAAGAGCTTACAATCTAACTTTATATGGGCATGAAGAGTGAAGGTAATTTATAATTGGGAGAGAAATCAGAGGAAAAATAAAAACTACAGTAATTTAAGAATGTGCACAGCTTGAAGTATGTGATATTATACATACACTACAATTTTTACATTGCTAATACTTACATTTAGATAATATAATATATATAAATGAAAAAGAAGTATCTAGCAAACCAGAAAGGTCTAAAATTAATTAAATTAGAACATATTTCATTGTGGAAAATAAAACAGGAAGATAGCACTGTATAGGTCTCTTGTGAGTTGCTGATAGTAGGGCTTGGAAAGCAGGATGCCTAATGGGCTCTGCTTGTGAAAACTTTCCAAGCAACTGTGTAAAGACATGTGTACATTGGTACTGTTCCTCATATTTAAAACAAATTGAAGAACTGCAGTCACTGCACGTGTTGTCATGGCCAGATTCGGTGCTTTGTGGCTAAAATGGGTTTAATTCAGGGTTGATTAGTCTGAGATTTAACTCTGCTCAAAATGGGGTGAGTAGGAAAGTGGTAGTTGTTTATGCACTAGGCTGGAATGGCTATTGATTCAATGACTGTTGAAGCAAAGTGTTCATTTAGATACCTTAATTCAGGTTAATTCAGGTACTTAATGTGCCTGAATGGGTTTGTCCAACTGTAAAGTTAAATGGGCTTGTCCACCTGTAAAGTTAAATACCACCCATCCCTTTTTAGCCTGTGTTCATTAGATTAGTGTAGATATTTGCTCATCTGCTTTTATTGTGTGTCTACATTTTTGGATGTGAAGAAGCTGAGAACAATGCAAATGTAGCAAAACATTGCTTCATCCAGGATTAAAGTTGGAGTGGTTTTGCTACAATTGAGTTGTTCTCAGCTCATTGGCAGGGAAGAATTAGAACAGACCAGCTACTGCTCTTTTGAAACTTTAAAATGACTTGCAAGCCCTTTCAAACTTTTGAAATTAGAACTGACTGTCATGTGGCAGATTTGTACGTGTCTAGTCTTCTCTGTCTTTAAAGTGAAGCTAATGTATAAGTTGAGCAGAGGAAAATCCATAACACCCCCCCAGCCCTAACTCTTCAGGTTCCTGCCTCAAAGCAGCCAGCATCAGCAGCAACCTTTTGTGTTTATACATCTACAGTTTAGTAATTCAGAACTTTTAGAGCTACTTGATTTCTGCTACGTTCTTGGTTACTGTTTGCAAAAGTGCTAGCTTTTTGTTTGCTTTTTGTTTGTGTTTTTTTTTTCTGTACTGCTCACCATGATATCTAAGTACATAATGACTCACTCATTAGAGTAGGGGTAGGCAACCTTTTCTGACTGTGCTCCAGAATAACTCTGGGTCAGAGGTCGGTGAGTGCTAGGTCTTGGCTGCCACCGCTGCTTAACACCATAGGAACATGGGGAAGAGTGCCCGTAGCTGTGGGCTGGATCTGGCTCATAGTCTATAGGCTCTCAACCCCCTCACTAAAAAAGTTCTGGAGTTGAGTTAGTGATTTTGACTTCCCATTAAACAATTTTCCATGAAAAAGGGTTACATTTAAAGTTTTTTCAGCAGACTTCCTGAGAATTCAAGAAGAAATGTTCAAATCCACTCACATGGTCAGAGGCCTTCAGGCAAGGCTCTATGAGGAGAGACTGAGAGACCTAGTTCTCTTTAGCCTTTGCAAGAGAAGGCTGAAAGGTCATCTTGTGGCTGCCTATAAATTCATCAGAGAAGGGCAGCAGGAAATAGGAGATGCTGTGTTTACTAGGGCACCCCCTGAAGTAACTAGGAGCAATGGCCACAAATTGATGGAGAGCAGATTTAGGTTGGACATTAGAAAGAACTTCCCAGTAAGGGTTGCCACAATCTGGAATGGGCTTCTAAGGGAGCTGGTGCTCTCCCCTACCTTTAGCGTCTTCAAGAGGAGACTGGACAAGCACCTAGCTGGGGTCGTCTGATCCCAGCGCTCTTCTCTGCCCAGGGCAGGGGCTTGGATTCGATGACCTACTGAGGTCCCTTCTGACCCTAACATCTATGAATCCTGTTTTATTACTGGTTTTCAGGAAGACAGGAAAACCTTTCCATAATTTTATAAGCTGGCAAGATTTAAGAACTGCTGAACTCGTAAGTTCCTGGAACAGGGGTCTCATGCTGAAGGTAAGTCTATTTGCTGAGTACATAGCTTCATATATTAAAGTTTTATATTTTGTTTTCATTTTTATGGAGACCCAAATACACCATGTCAAATGTTGTAAGTACCTTGATAATACACTGATATATGAGGTTTAGGTGGTTTGCCCCTTAACATTTTTTTTAAATCAGAAAAAAATTACAAGGTGAGTGAACTGAAAAGAAATTCAATATGGTATTCACATTAATAGTGAAATTTAAGGCTATAAGAGAGTCCGTAAGTTGGGAATCACTCTGCCATATTAACACGTTGCATATGTTAGTAATGCAGTATCATATTCTTTGTCCCAAAATGTCTTTATTTTTCATTAGCAAGGTAATTCTTTGCTCAGATTTGTGTGTGGTAGATTTGGAAAAGATGCACTGTATATTTTTTTTTTTTTTTTTTTTTTT